AAGGTTTTGGAAAAACTTGCAATGACAGTTTTATTAGAGACTCGATTATAATCCATGAAAAAGAGAAGAGGAATTGCTTTTCAACTTTTAACTCTATGTTTCGTGTTACTTCCTTAAAATTTAAAATCTTATATAACCACTATAAATGTTAAATAGCTGCACTCATCTTTTCAAATGAATAGTACGTGTTAACATAAAGACAAGTTATTTTATCGACCAGCAGAGATAAGTTAAGGCAATTTTTAAACTGTTAATAAGATTTACTGAATACAAAACAACTTGTACACAAAAAGAGAGCCAAGGCGACTACTCTTGCATGCACATGACGACATGCTTTGATAGACGAATGAGATCTTGATTATGCCGTTTGTTTGAGTACCAAATACACTTGCAGTTCCCTTCAGATGGTATGACTAGTATGACTCTCTCTTACATACATGTAGACTATAGCTATACACACAGTTTTATACATATACAATATATTTAATACGCCTTATTATAATTATACCTATCAAACTTATTTGTTCTTTTAAAACACATTTTAAATTTCTGTAAAGTTACCATATTTTTCTACATTTATAGTACCTAATTCTTATTTATAACTTTTTTATCAGTTTATTCTATTTTCTATTTTTATTAAAAACTTTTATGAAGTGTTTTACAAGTTTTAGTTCATTTACAGTCTCTGACAATGCTACAATCTTAGCTCAAGTAAAATACTTTTCTTACACTACTTTGTTTCCGTATTTTCTAATAAACTTCATTGTGTAAACTCTAATCACCTGACCAGTCCAAATCAACAAAACGACATGCAGTATGACCATTGTTATTGCCTTTAAACATAAATTTTAAATCATTTGTCAGGTATACGTGTGCTAGAGACAGAGCAGGCTATCGTGATGGCGTGGCAGATGCGTCATGCACTGCCTTTCTTCATCCAAACGCGCCACTGGCACTCATAGCCAAACCCAGGTGGGGTTTTCGCTAGTTTTTCCATACCGGGCGCTTCCCCGGGTGGCGGATAGGGGCATCCTCTTAAAATATGAGGTGACGATGGGCAGCTGGGGTGGCTCTCTGTGGTGGTGGTCGGGGGCGTGGATCGGGGGGCGTGTGTGGCGTTGGCGTGTGTATCTGCGGCGATGTGGACGACTAGTGCCCCATGCCTCCATCGGTGTGGATGCATGGGCTGGCTCTGCTTGTACTCCTTGTTCTTCGCTTTTTGCTGCGTCTGTAGGTGGCACTCCATTGCTTGATGCAGGCCAACAAAAACTAGCACCTGTCGTGTATGGAAGTAAGCGCCGGTTAAAACATTCTTCTCAGATACATGCATCACACACCCTTACTAAACAAACACAGGGACACTTACGGATTGTTCTGGGTTGCGTGTGGCGGGTCCTATTCCGGGCTTGCATTGGAGTCCTAGCGGCGGGTGAAGCCAGATGATGAGGCCCAGGTTAGTCTGGGTAACCACATCTAATATGGCTGTACGCCTCATAAACAAAAAAGACGTGGTGGGCCGACTAATCTAGGCTTACTACCACTGAGGAGGCTATATGGCGGCACCATAGTGCCTTTTGCCAGCCCGTTTCGTTGGGTTGTCTGCGCGGTCTTGGGACTGTACGCCTGCCGCTCGTCTTGCTGGAATGACTGTTGTGTACCAACAAATACATACATTACACAGAAACACCATTTTTACACTTGTCACACAACGCCAGGGCAGTCTCTGCGGGTGGGACTGAGGGAGAGTGGCGACTCCCGGCTGGCCCGAGCAAGTAGCAGTTTTCTCTGGTAACAGAGAGGGCTGCTGCCCTAGTTTTAACCCTTTCCGAATACTTATTTCTAGAAAAAAGGGTAGTGCTGGCCTTTGCGGGTCAGTACGATATTAAAAAAGATGCCAACATGAAAAACGTCGATGCAAAACTAGTACCCCAGGCGGTAACCTCTCTGAGAGAATCCGCCGGCAGTTCCGATCCGGTGAAAGCCCGGGTGACTGACGCAGGCCCCACGGATTCTGGGGGGGGGGGCCACAAAGACGTGTCTCATAGCCAACAGGGACTGATTAATGTTCCATGGCCTTTTCTTACAGACAAAGGACGAAGAGGAAGTCTGTCGAGTGTAGGCACTAATGACACCGAGGTTAGCAACGTGTCGGTATTTAGCCACCAGACCCAGGAAGAGCTTGCCTCTTTAGAAGAAAGTGTCACTAGGCTCGGAGTAAGGCAACAGCAAGTTGCTGATAAAGTCCAATCAGCAACGAATGACATTGCAGAGACGCTACAGCTGATTAATGATAAGTACGGCAACACAGCAAACGCTGTTAAAAATGGGCTCAAAGCGGCGCTTAAGCATCTTTAAGAGGCAGAGGTGCTAAGAAAAGGATGTCTCACTGAAGAAGATTTGTGTACCAACGCTTGGAAGTGGTCATTTGAATCCCTGCAGTGGAGGGAAAAAAGGCGAGATAATTTTCGACGGCACGTACAGAAACGAACACTGAACACTGCCTTAAAGGAAATAGAACGAAGTAAGAGAAACAGGATTCCTACGGACAGCCCTGAGAAACGCCAGCAGGCTATGTCTTCAAAGAAAAAGGAAGCAGGCAGTGGCAAACAAGAAAAAATTCCACTGAATGACAAAACAAGCCGGAAGAAAAGAGTGGACGCCACAACAACAGTAGTAGTGAAGATGAATAAAGGACAGACCTTTGCAACGGTGCTGAAGACTATGAAGGCGAACTTTGACCCCGATAAGACTAAAGTGGCAGTCCAAAGTGTTGTCACTACAAAAAAAGGAGACATACTTATTAAAGCCAAAGGTGTAGAGAATGCTGCTGCATTCTCACAGCAAATTAAAAAGTTGGTAGCTGGACAGGGTACTGTCAAATTAAGCGACAGAAAAGTGACATTAGAGGTCCAAGACCTGGATGCCATTGTAGAGGAAAATGAGGTCAAAGAGGCCTTCGCTAGGACTTTTGGACATCAGAGCCAGGAGCCAGAAGTTGCTCTCTTAAAGCCAAATGCCAAAGGACAGAGGCTGGCTTTAAGTAAGGTGGACGAAGCATCTGCCAGACACGTAGAACAGGAAGGCAGGTTACGAGTTGGCTTTGTGAGCTGCCAAATTCGAAGAAGAATCAAAGTAACAAGATGTTACAAATGCCTGGGATATGGACACGTCTCGGGCAACTGTGAGAACGAAAACAGATCCAAGCTGTGCTTCCGTTGTGGAAGCTCTAACCACCGGAAGAAAGAGTGTCCAGGCCCAGCACGGTGCTTCCTTTGCCCAACAACAGACAACAAGCACCAAGCAGGCAGCGGGAGCTGCCCTTTATTTAGAAAAGCCCTGAAAGAGGCCAGGGATAAGGCCTAAGCAGGATCAGAATAAGGCCAAAAGGCCTGGAGTTAAAAGACAGGCTTATGTGGACCCACGCTGCGCTAGGTACTTTTTACCTATCAGCAAGGGAAAGCATTAAGCTTATAGTGGTGCTGCCTAAGTAGGCGGCCTACTATGGAGCGCTAGACAAGGTGCTGGTCCTCAGGGACCCCGAGTCCTTTTCAGGACTCGAGAGCATCAGCACCTCTAGCAAATGGTGGCGAGTTAGCTAGTTAATGCTGTGAGACGCGATGGTCTCCCGGCTGGCTCCACCCTGAAGTAATGCTAACGCGGTTCCGGGGTGGATCAAAAGCCACGCGGCATGGGGGGGATATTTTAGTGGGTGTGGGTAGTCTAATAAAAAAAATCCACTGAGTCTAACACTACCGCTGTCCCTGCGGTGTGCCTCAACGCATTTCCCCTCCTTCCACAAAAAAAAAAAAAAAAAAAAAACTCATAGCCAATGCCTCTGATTTCGTCATCGGAGCCGTACTGGAGCAGCAGTGGCAGGATGGTTTCTGAGAGCCACTCAGATTTTTTTTCAAAAGCTCTTAAATGCTCAACGGAAGTACAGCACCTACGACAGAGAGCTTTTGGTTGTTTGCAAGGCCATCAAAAACTTTGAACGCATTCTTGAGGGACGGATCTTTATAAATTTTACCGATTATCGTCCGGTCATCCATGCGGCGCAGCAGCGATCAGGCAAAGCCTCACCAGGGCAGGCTTACCACATGGAATAAATTCTGCGTTTTAACACAAAGTTTTACCACAGCTGAAGCTGTAAAAATCTAGTCACGGATACCCTCTCCAGGATGCTCGCTGCTGAAGCAACCTTAAGGCCTTTGTACGCCGGCTCAGAGTTAGCCACTTCCATCAGCAAGACAACTGAGATACACAACACGGCAATAGGGGACGTTATGGGGGTCTCTGGCTTAGAGTTCGACACGGCCACTTTCGTGATGGCCTCCATCTTCGACATACCTGCCATTGCTCAAGCTCAAGCTGCTGATGAGAAGCTACAGGAGCTCTTAAACAACCAAGGTTCTATTCAGCTCTTGCAGGTCAAACAGAATGGACACACGATCTACTGTAACGTTTCCACTGGTAAGGTGTAGCCCTACCTGCTGCCCTCACTCCGTCACCGTGCCTTTGACACGGTACACGGTCTTGCCCACTCAGGAGCCAAGGCCACTGCCAAGGCTCTCGCAAGGCGCTACATCTGACCAGTAATTCGCAAATAGGCCGCAACATGGACCAAGCACTGCGAATCCTGCCAATGCTCCAAAGTCTCGCAGCACAACAGGGAGGCGTTAGGACGCTTCAATGAGCCGGACGACCACTTTGAGTACGTCCACGTAGACTTAATCAAGATGCCACTGGTCAATGGGATGCAGTATTGCCTAACCATTATTTATAGGCTCTCCTGCTGGCCCATGGTAGTTCCTCTTCCAAACTTTCAAGCAGAAACTGTGGCAAAAGCCCTCAACGACCACTGGACCAGCGCCTTCGACATTCCTTTGATGATAACCTCGGACAGGGGCGCCCAATTTGAATAGACTCTCTTCATCGAGCTGGCGCACAACCTTGGATCCAAACTCTGCCACACAACGTCCTACCATCCGCAATCCAACGGCATGATTGAGCGCTTCCACCACACGCTCAAAGCTGGGCTCAAATGCTACCTGCAAAATTTGATTGATGTCCTACCGATGGTATTGATGGGGTTCTGTTCTACTGTCAAGGAGAATTTTGGGACATTGTCCGTAAATATGGTATTCGGTACCACACTCCGTTTGCCGGGTAAGTTCTTCATCACCTCCTCAGTTCAGGCCGACCACATCAGTTTCATGTACAGTCTCAAGCAGCTGTTTTTGTCACTCAGGCCAGTGTCTGCTTCAAGGCATGCCAGCATTCATCCCCTAAGTTTCAGGGACCTACAAACTTGCTCTCATGTCTTTCTACGCATGGACTCCATTCGCAAACCACTGGAGCAGCCCTATTCGGGCCCACACAAGATTCTCAGCCACACGGATCATAGGACTTTCATCATCGATTGTGCTGGAACCCCAAAGAAGTCACAGTGGACTAGATCAAACCAGCCTACCTGGAAGTTGTGCAACACATTGATTTAGCCATCAGCGCTAACGAATTCATGATTTTGCAACCAGTACCTGCTGTCGCTCCCCTCCTGGCTAGAACTCAGAAATCAATGCAAGCCCTGCAATCTGGGCAAATTCCTAATGTTTGCAAAGTCTCGCACCACGTTTCGTTCCCAGCGGTCGATGGGCTGATCTTTGGAGGGGGAGTGGGTGTGGCAGCACGGCCAAGCCACCTAGCGACATCTATCAGGCGCAAGTAGAGGCTGATTCGGCGAGAGGTCTACTCCGTCTACTGAGTGAGGAATGCGCATGCATCGTTGTTACACTCCATCTTACTTCAACTAAGTAGGCATGAATTCCTTCAGCTGTGGGAGCTGCAAAGAGGAGATAGAGAGAGAGACTGGACCGCACCGACAGGAAAGCAGATTATGGTCTCTCAGCAGAAAAAAAGTATGGTCTCACTACTTTACTTAAACTCTTACATTCTTACACAGTAGCAGAGTTGTATATTTTAGTGATTAATAATTAAGTGGTTCTCAAAAAGTGTTGTCATTTTTTCAACCTGAACCCACCTTCCACTCCAACACGCAGAGACAGCCATGTGCACACTAAATATAAACTGCATACTTTTTTTACATATTTAAAATATGTCTCATTAGAGCAATTTGGAAATCTACTTGAGTAATTGACGATATAACTAATGTCAGGTCACGTATCTGAACAAATAATTACGAATTAAATTTCTACACTGTAAATTGTTTTTTTCTTTTGTTGCTTAATTTTATTTAAGATGAACTTGCATCAGAATACTACAAGACTTTGCATTTTTGAGTTTATACTTAAACGCCGAAGACTCAAAATAATTTTTCGGACTTAAAAACATTTCATAATTTTTATATTTTTAATTAACAATAAGTCATCCCCAAATCATGTTTTACTTTTTTGATATCTTCCGTACAAAATTTTTAGGATACTTTTCTTCAAATCATACGAACAGTACTTAACTTTTACAATAAATTGATAAATCATCTACGAACAGAATAGTTTATAATTTATTATAACCATTATCAGACTATTTTTAAGTTTTAAGCTTATTATAAATTCATTAAAACATTCGTTTTACGCTCTAAGACTCTCCCAAACCATACTAAGCTTTTGGCAATTTACGGACATACGATTTTTTTTCATGCCCTTCCAATGTTTGGAATCAAAAGTTTCTATAGTTTCATTAAAATTTCGAGGGTTATCTGCTCTTCAATAATTAAGATAAACACACATACCTATTATAATTTTATCCATATCTCTAAAAACGTTTAACATTTTATTTTTGGTCTAAGTTTGAAATTGTGACCCTGATTTTTCTGTTCATGGTTTTCTATCAAATTTTTATGATTCTCATCTTCTATACCCCTAAATTAATCGCTGGACTAAAATTCACTATCACACATTCAATTTTTATTTTTCCACTTAACATTACCTCATAAGCCAATAAAATATTTATCTTTTTCTATAATGTCTACATGTCTAGCTACACTCAATAAATTATTTATTCACATTTTGTATCCAACAAATTTATAACTAGCATAAATTCCTAAATAACATTTTGTATTACATTTAGACCTTCATCTTTGTTCAGGTACACTATAAATGATTTTTTACATACTTATTCACAAGAAATATAGACATTTCTGTATAATAAATAGTTGTAAATACATAAGTAAGTTTCAGCTCTCACCGCTACCCATCAGCTGTCCCTAATTGATCACACAATTCACATAACTATTTAAGAATTTTCATGTCATTTTAAATCCAATGATATTTAATCAAGCTCTCCCCTTTACTCCCCTTGCTCCTTTTTGACCACCTCCTCTACCCCCTATTGCGTAATCGCTTTCTACTTGTATTTTACCATCTCCAAGGATGAAATTTTCAATATTCTAAGAACTAGGTGGAATTTTTATAATTAAATAATTTTATTAACTAAAGCAATCAAGCTTTTAAAACAAAAATTGTATGTTTTTATATTTACCTACATTGTGACATGAATTAGGGGATTTGTTCCAAAAATGATTTTTTGGTTTTTTCTGGGAAAAGAAAATTTTCTCTACTACTTTAATAACTATCTTATAGGTCTAGGTTATTCCTTAGAATAAAGATGGAATTGGTTAAGTCATAAAAAAAATTATTAACCATTTAGCGTCCATGATGTACAATACCATGTAATATTTGGTAATAATATAACCAATCTTCATGTGTTAAATGTATAACAAATGTGACAAATTCAGACTTGTTATCTAGACCATACTTTGCACAAATTTTTTTCGATGCAATTTACACATTTACGTCCATTATTAGATTTTAAAATTATGGTTGCTCTTAACCTACAAAATATATCAGTTAGGAGTTATCCTACTTGTTTAACAGTTATATTTAACAACAGTCAGGGGCTTACAAGCTTTCTCAGGTGATATCGATAGTTTAAAATAAATCGATTATCACTATACTTTGCATATCAATGTGATCTATTTGGTACTGACTGTTAATGCAACTACTTGAACTAAATAAGCTGTAAAAACTTTTCTTAGTACATCAGCATATTTACACTTCAATTCGGCTTCTGTGACTATGAATAATAATATAAGATGAAGCTTTAAGATAAAACTAAGAAAATCTGCGTATTTTTCTATTTATTTTTTGTATCAAGTAATAATATGTGTAATTTCTACAGTTTTAAATATATGTTGTTTATTACAACTCACTAATTTTACTAAGAATGTTACTAGCTTCTGTAATAGGTTTTTTAATAATTCATTGTCTCAAATGACGATATTATTATGTAGTGAACCAAATTTAATTTTTTGATTATTTTGTGCTTTTAAGACTTTAGTAAAAGTAATAATTTACATGTTAGAATTGAAATGATACCCTTGATTTTGGTTTTCACTAATTATATGATTGAATTTAGAAAAAAACGGTATCTTACTTTTCTTAAATTTATTACATGTAGGCTGTTTAGTAGCTGCAATAATACTCAACTAAGAAACATTGAAACCGAAATAGTAGCTACGTCTGATGAATGTACACAAATAATTTAGTTCAAGTATTTAGTTCAGCAAGTTAGTTAGTTAGTAAGTTACTAAGGCTCTCCCAAGTAAGCACCTCTGTGAACTTTTACATGTTCTTTCTTACCACACAATACTTTTCCTGAGGGGATGGGCAACCTTCTCACAGAAAAACGGCCTACCCCTTGGATCCTTCACTCACGAGGTGGTCTGAGTCACATCATCACCATACCAAAAAATTGAAATAACTGTATCTAATAATGTAAATTGTGTAACTAATAATGTAAATTGTGTAACTAATAATGTTATATGTAATTTATACTGTAATATGTAACGAATATTAATGTAAAATGTGCCTTACTGTACTAAGGCTGTATGTACTCCTTTTTAAGAAAGCCTAAAAATAAATAAAGTACTGAAGTAGGTATTTATTACAAGAAATCAATTATGTATATACGTATAATGTCAGATGTTTAAGTAGGGAAGCCTACTGTTAATTGAGTAAGACATAAAAGTGAGCCATGAGAAGGTTATTTTTATCATGTTTTTTATTGGATTTTAAGGCAAAACACCCTTCAACGTACTTAACTTTGCCAGTAAGCTTTAGCAAACAACTTATTCAAAAAGACCATTATGCCCCAAACATTATATCCTATTGACAAACTAGCATAACGACATTTGCGATGAAACACATACGCCATATCGCACCTAAGCTCAGTCATATAAAAGTGTTATAGCATAGGATGCAGGTATTTAAATCAACTAACTCTAAAAGTTCATCTTAAGTAAACGAGACACAACTTGATTTGTGTAATGACAATAAAGTACTTAGAGGCCAGGGTAAATAGTACAAGCATCGTCTCCTGGAGTTGCAAAAAAAACGATTGATATTGGCAGCCAAATAATGTGTCTTTTAGAATGGATAAAGAAAAATTTAAAAAAGCAGAAGACCTTTATAACGTAAAAAGAAAGTTGTAAAATCTAGTCAGGAAAAATTTTGAAACCAGTGTAACTAAACTTAACACCAAAAGCAAAGTCAAGAAAATGTTCTGTGAGATGCAACAATAGAGAAAAAAGAACGCAGAAGCAATAAAATACTGGCAACATAAGCTTATAGGCAGATATTTTACAATATACTTAGACCATTAGCCATTACAAAAGTCAAAGATAAAAGCTAGACATAAAGAGCTGGGTGACCTCACATATCACTAATTACAATTTGATTTCTATCCAAAATACTACCCCGATAAAGATAATCTCAAAGCCGGTGGGCTATGTAGAAATTCTGTATTGGAACCTCAAGAAGACGAAGAGGATAAATTAAAGACTGTTTATTTAATGATATTGAACGATATAATAAAATATAAAAAAAGAACGATATTACAAAAACAAATATAAGTAAGTTGATTTACAAACACTTGTTTTATAAAAAAATAAAAAATAAAGAAAAATTATGTTTTTAGAAGATTTAAGAAAGAAACTTTTAGAAGAAATACTCAATAAATTTTGTCATACTGGCATAAGCCAAATGTAAAATAAAGTATCGATTTATGATACAGTAAATGATACATCAGAAAATATAGGCCTCATGAGGAAAGGGAGATCCGAAACAATGACAGACCACTTTGATTTTGTAGTAAAACTATGAATGTTTATTCCAGTGACATGTATTTTGACGTCAACGATAACTTAGTGTAACGACTGTTCATTATTTTGACAGCCAATCACAGAGCAGTACAAGTATAGAAAGTCAAAATAAGCTGCCTTGTAATTGGCTGTTGAAATTATCGACCATCGTTGTACTGTGCTGTTGATGTTCTCTAAATAAATATGGCTGAAATAAACATCCATAGTTTTACTACAAAATTCAAGTGGACTGTTAATATATTAGACCCTTTCCCGGCTACAGCTTGGTCTTGCACGTAAACCATTTGAAATAGTCTCTATGGACACAACAGATAGATTTGGCGG